TTAAAAAATACCTTTAAAAAAATCCTGTGCTTGCATTCAATGTTCTCTCCAGCAATGGARAGTAAGAGAGTGAAAGATGAAACAGCATCCCGGGGTTGAATGTTGCTGAGAACAGAAAGTTTGTTTGCTGTGGATATGGGAAACCATTTTTCAGATACGTTATCTTTCAGTGACTTAGGTGGTCAAATCCAGGCCTGTTACAATCTACTGGTAGATATTTTGGGAAGACTTTTTTGCAGAAAATGAGAACTGGAAGGATACACTGTTGAGAATGGATTCTCAAGGATTAATGTCCCTAACCATGTCACTGGTTTAATGATYATCATAAGCCAAGTTAGGTTTGTGCTGCCTTCAGAAAGAGAAGTTTCCCTGTCACTTCACTATTCTTCATCCTAAYGAGCAGGATCAACCCATCTACTCCACTGATAACTAATTCTTCCCCTTCCCCACAAATCAATTAATCCTTTCTTACAGTCATCAGCCAGATCAGCAGGCGGATTCAGCTCACTGCTCAGCCCCCCAGGCAGGGAGGGGGCAGTGGGAGAGTCCCCATGTCCTTTGGCTGAAGGCAGCTGTGAAGAGCACACTGAGAATTGATGGAGCTGCTCCTGGGATGTGGGGATGGCACAGAGCAGTGGGGGGCTGCTGGGGAAGCAGATGGACCAAGGCACGTGACAGCCACAGCACATGGATCCAGGTGGCTTTGGAAATGAGAGACTGAAGTGCAGGGACTCACAAACCAACATAAGCTTTCACATTAAGAGTGAGGCAGAAAATGCAGGGAGTGTATTGGATTTAGGAGGCTGGTTAAGGTAAGAGCTGAAAAACAGAAAGCATTTAAAGACAGAGTGAAAGACATGGAGAATATTCTTACCAAGACTATTTCAAGTGTCAAACATCTGGTCTTCAGAAACACCAAAACTCCAAACTAAATAAAGGTATTATGAGGAAGCACTTTGGTTTTGACCTCCTGGATTAAATCCTGACCCAAACCCATCCATTCCAATACAATGCCACTARACTATCCAGTGAGCTCTCAGGCTATAAATGAATCAAAATGAATCYGAGACCCTATTATGTGGAAATGTCATTTCTGATAGGATATCCTATTTTTCTTTTGAAATTGGCCCCTATTGCTGTAACATTACAAAGGCAGCTTATTAARTGGGAGCTATGGGAAAATCCTTCCTGGTAGGATTACTAATTATCCCAACTTAAAATGTAACCCTGTTCGAACTTTATTGCTTCTATACGCTTTGGGCTTCTTTTGAAGGTGGCTGTTTTATGAAGGAATGTATTAAGTATTCTGCATTGGCAATTACCATTTCTTTAAAAAGGAGGTGTTAGTGAAGGTTTTCCTCTACAGTCATTTTTTTTTAACAAACGTGACTTTCTTCTTGGCCTTGTCTCTTTGTGGCAAGAAATGAACTGCTTTATGCTCTCCTTTGGGTTTATTTGATATTCCTCTCAGGTGCTTGGCTTGGGCCAGCAAGCCTAGATGGAAACTCCACCAATATGTTTAATATTTAGCACAGAAATTAAACATACCCCCTGCCACGTGTYAGCTTCAGTAGTATCTGATTATAAAAAATATTACTAAAATATTGTCCATCTAAGCATACTTCTTTTTCTGTATTWCACAAAGCGTTAGTACATTATTGTRGTGCCAGATTCAGCTCATATTTCATAGTGAAGTAAATCCAGAATCAYTTTATTGACACTGATAAAACAGATGGCTAAACCCAAGCTAGACAGAAATGTAATTACRTCTGCAGTGTTAGAGGTGAAGGTGTGTTATTAAAACATCTCCCTCTTCTTTTTGAATAATGGGTAGCCCTTGCAAAATGTAAGGAGYATACTGACAATATCAAATGTCATTCCAACTTCTTGATGGGAAAAAAGTATATGGTGCAAAAGGGAATATGCACAGAACGATRGAGAGCTGCTAATTAGCCATTATAGGATTCTATTAATCTCGTCAATCGACTAAAAGAATTACAGTCATTGAAGTCTATTTGCTTTAAGATGGAAAGAAGGCTTAACCAAAGCCTTAGGGCTGACGACAGCTAGAGGAAAAGCAGATTCTGTGCATCTAGCTGCATGTGCTGGTTTTCCTGGAGAAGGTCACAGCCATCKCCAGATAACGTCAGCTCACACCGTCCCAGAGTGTTGAGGGTGTTGGCACACATTTTACCAGAGGCCTGGCAAGCTGTCCATGGCTACGCGTGCTCAGATCCAGCTAAAGTAATTTGTGTTCCTGGGTGGGAGTTTGGAAGAGAAGGTCATGAATAGAAAAATTGTGGCCCAGATTGCTTCAGCATTTTCCTGGTTCACTGGTTGATGTGATAGACTCCATCTCCAGTACAGCTGCTTTCCTGTGGGGCAGGGTGGGTGTGCAGGGAGGAGCAGCCACATCCTTCCCCACTGCAGGCTGTGCATCCCCTCAGGGCTGTGCCTGTCCCACTCACAGGCCATGGTGGACCATGTTAGCACACCAGTTTGAAAGCTGAAAACTTTAAACCATTTTTGAAGTTTCTAATGCTCCTGGTTCTGATTTTCCAAATGTGTAATAATTGCATTTGTTCCGACGTGGTTTTCCTGAGTTCATGGGCAACTTCATTTCCCTCTCACCCAGTGAGCTCATATGTCAACAATACTTCCTATTTAATTATTTAATGTGTAACTGTTACCCATGTTATCAAATAGGGTGAGAAACTGCATTGGGTTAAGGCTTCTGGAGGGAATTAGGATGAAAATGCAGAAGAGGAAAAAGGGAGGAGAAAMACTAAAGGACAGTTAACAAAAGAGAGGTGAAGTAGCAGTGGCTGTAAAGGTGGATACATACTGCCACCATGCAGTGATGATGATAAAAAGAAAACTAACCACACTTTGCCATGGATTTCTGGTGCAGACCCATCCTTGAAATTGGTGGGAATTCAATGAACTGGAGAGCATGTTATCTCTAATGCATTTTTTGGCTCACAGATCACAATTAAAATGAAATTCTGCCTTCTGCAAAATTAACTTGGACACCCTGGTCTGCTGCAGGCAGTCCTTGATCTTGGTTGGTCTCAGCTGAGCTAAAACTGTGCGAAGGAAAAACAGATGATAACTAAGGAACTTTTCTTGCAGACTATATGCAATTGCTATCGTAGCATAAGTATTTTCAAGGAAATCTAGGATGTATGGGTTACTTTTCAGAAGAGGAAATATTGTTTTGCAGGTTCTTGCTGTTCCTATAGATCATTCCATTCCAATGTCTTGGCTGTGAAAATATTGATACAAATGTTGTTATGAAATGATTATATTCCCAATATTACATAGAATAAATGTTATCACTTAAATATTTTTAAATGCCAGCATTTCTGCAGGCTGCAGCTTTTTGCTAAGAAGAGCATACACTTGTCAAATGTTTTGAATTCTGTATTATTCAGTAAATGAGCATGTGGTTAATTAAAGTAGCATTGCTATACTGTGAGGTGACCAGATTGCAAACATATCTTTAACAATTGGCCCTTGTAAATAAAGAGAAGAGAGCTGATTGAGATCTGAAAATGTCAATAGATGCAAAAAGCCACCTTACAGTGTTACCTTATAAAATAAAAAGAGAGAAATAATGACATGGTCAATATTAACTGCCATCAGCTGGAAAGAAATCAGATTGTCAGGGATCTATAAAATTCTTGCCAAAGTAGAACCTCATTTACACATACAGATCTTCATACCCTTTGCTAAGAAAAGCGTGTGTGACAGCTTAGAGGTTTTAGCTGCCAAAGATCTTTCACTCTGAATGCAGTAAATGTCACATCTATTTATTTATCGTTAAATTTTGCTAAGTATCTGTAGAAATATTTGGATTTTTTCTATCATAATGTAGATGTTTAAAAGGAAAAGAATCCAGATTATAATGCAGCTGTAGCACCAAACCATATGGCTGCTAAATGGGAGTAAAAATACACCACTGAATTACTAGGAGTAAACATAAACTAGATGCTATCTTCAGAAGAATATTAAATGGAATATATAAATACAGGGTATTGCCATAAAATCATGCAATCAGACAATAGTAGCCATCAGGCAATAGATTATTTCACATGCTGAAAGTAGTCACAGTTGTTWAGCAATTTGCATTTTCTAAATGCCAGACTGAAAATATTAACTGGTGAATCTTGGCAAGCACAGTTTTTCTACCAACTGCAGTGATGGTTATAACAATATCCAGGCCTTTTTGAGAGAGACAGGGGAATAAGGCAGCCATCCTACACCCCAGGTTCATCAGAATCTGCCTGGAGTCCAAGGTGCTGGAAACAATCTCACTTGTCTTCAATTCGAGTCTTCAACTTCTTTCTTGTAGGAAGAGGTCTAAGGGATTTATTGGGTGAGCTTGCACAGCGCTGAGCAAGAGCAAATGGTCCAGTGGAATACATATTCAGTGTTRTGAATAATGTCTGGCATGAGAGAGAACTCAAATTAACATGGCTGTTGTGTTTGCCTGCTCTTTTGCTCAGAAGCTGTTTCAAAAGTCCATTTGGACTCTACATCATTGTGTGAAAAGGAGAAAGTTAAGAACTAATAATCAAGGCCTGTGTGCTCAGTTTGGTAAAACCTACTGGGAGTAATAGTCAACTGTATTTTCACATTTGGGGTCTCTTCTGTTCTCTTTATATAATGTGGAAGGAGAGGAGGCCTCTTCATCCCATCCACAGCCATCTTCAAACTGAGCAAGAGCTAAATGAYCCTTGAGCTTCAATTGGATTGGTAAATTAGCATCCCAGGGAACAGGCGCTCAGTATTTACAACTGTAGTGCTTAAAATTGGAAATACAATGAAATGTTTACCTCAAAACTGGCCAGATTTATCAGGATTTCTTATTACTGCATATTGAACTAGCTCTGCCCTGGGAACTCAGATCTAAACGATATCGAGTGAAGACTTCCTCTCCTGAAGTTTTATGTGTGAGACAAAGAGCAATTCTGAATATCTCTTTCTTTTTCCCACAGATGATATGGAAGCAATTCCAGTCAAGCAGTTTGTTAAACACATCAGTGAGCTGTATTCTAAYAACCAGCATGGGTTCTCGGAAGACTTTGAGGTACGATTTAATGACCCACCAATAAAACATTGTTTTCCTAAAGTTAATTGTGTATTAATAATTGGGGACCATGTGACATCTGTGTGAGGCTGTCACATCAGGTAAATGCAGTGCTCAAATGTATCAGCACAGGATGATACCAATTTGCTACCAGCTATGAGCAATGTGAGACTGGGCATTTACAGATAATTCTTAACCACCACAGATTTGGTGCCTTCAAGGGGGAACCCTCGTAGGTTTTTATTAAACAGGAAAAGCTGCCTGCAAGGCCCCAGGAACAACATGAAGATACAAATAGTTATTTTTAATTCCGGGGCTTTCTTACAATTATTTTACTCTTCTTGGTCCAGAATTTACTCCTCCTAGTAGTCTGAAAAGCCACCTACTCCCTGAGTAGTCCAAAAG